TGCAGCTATTAATATTTGATAATCACTGACTTGAATAAAACCAATGAATATATTTATCCATGCCACACTAAAAATACATTAAACATAAAGAACGCAACTTCACAATAAATCAGTCTGATAAATTAGAGTAACCCATATTAATCCTTAAGTCATTACAATTATTAATACTTGATTATATCACTGACTTTAATTAAACCACTTTGACCAGAAAAACAAATATAAATCCCTGCCACACTAAAAATATAGTAAACATAAACAATGCTACTTTTAAATGTTAAAAACTTCACAATAAATCAGTCTGATAAATATGCCACGCTGCATTATGAATAAAGTAACACAACATATTTATAGTCTAATCATAACATGGCAGTGCTTTCTTCGTACGCTTTCAAAGTTGTGTGAGATGGTGAAATAATGTACGTTACAGCTATAACCATTATTCATGTTGTCAAAACAAACATTTCCAACCAAGCAAACCAGAGTAGAAAGAGAGAGCGATGAGCAAGGCTGCAAAATCAAAACCTATGAATAATTAATCACATCTCATTCAACGAAGCTGAGTTTGATCCTAGCCAAGCAAAACAACGTGGCTCGACCAGTTGATACACCTACCGTTTCGCTACCCATCTGTTACTGTACACAGAAAGTGTACCAAATGTGTCAGAGAAATGCATGCTTTAATTAGGGTTCCTATGGAACAAATGAGTGAGCTGCTTCTGTAATTAGTGCACAGTAGCAGGTCCTGCTGTAATTATGTTCATGTCCCTGGAAAGCCTTTGCATGGAAAAAAAAAATACAGGCCATCTGATTAGCTTGAGCTAATTGATTTTAAAAGCTTTTAAAGTAAGGTAATTTGACAGTTGTATATCCCTTCCTTATATGTGACCCTGGACCATACAGTAAGTGTCTTTTATTTAAATTGAGATTTATACATCACATAAACTGATAAATAAACAAGTTAAAAACATAAATAATCTTTCCGTTGATGTATATTTTTTATGACAGGACAGGACAAATTTGAGATATAACTAATTGAAAATCTGGAATCTGAGGGTTCAGAAAGTTTTTTTTGAGGGAAATTAGCTTTAAAATTGTCTAAATTAAGAACTTGGGAATCAAAAATTGAGTTTTGCATATTTACAGTACAAAATGTACAAAGTATCTTCATGAAACATAATCTTCAATTTATATTCTAATAGACTTTATCAAATTATACAACATTGATACTGTATAAAATACAGCATAAACAATAATGTTTTCTTATTAACCATGAAAAATACCAGAAATTTTTGCAGAAGTAATACAAATATTACAACTGAACAATACAATTTTGGATTTTAATAACTTATTCAACACTAACTATGAAGTATTTTTTTCACCCAAGATAAATTAATTGTATTATTATTATTGGTAATGTTGTTGATAAATGTACATTGTTCATAATTATTTGTTAGCAAATAAAACCTTCTTGAAAACTGTGCTGACAAACAATAAACCAATAAAGAATCAAAACAAATCACCCATTATAGTCCCAATTAAGCATGGGACGATAACCCTCTTCAAAATATACTATGGTTTGAAAAAGTCAAGGTTTTAAAACTGCAAAATGTTCTGCTATACCGCTTCTACGGTGTATGTAAAGTTTTTTTATGTTTTGTTTTTTAGGACAACACTATCTACCGCAGAAAAGATATCCAAGATGCTGTTTTAAATTGTAGTGAAATCGTTGTTTTGGAACCAAATAAAGACATCAGAAGTCAATTATTTATTTGAATTATTTAGCCTGATATGTTTATCAAGGTAAAATATATTGTGTTCAAAGGGGAAAAAAGTTTTTGTTTATACCCAGACATTTGAAAATAACTTATTTTAGAGCAGTAATCAATATCGTAAAACCATGATATTTTTATCCAAGGTTATCATACCGTCAGAATCTTATACCGGCCTTTAGAATTAAAATATTGCTTTTTAGATGTTATTATCAGTATGTCCTAGTCTTAAGGTTATCTAAAAGCGTTTCTGCTACAAAACAATAACAAAATTCAAACCAGAAGATGTAAACATTCAAATTTTGCAGTTTGTCACTTTGCCTAAATGGAACAATGATTTTATCACACCACCTCATACTCCAGTGTCTCATCAAACCTTCTGACCAATCAAATGCTCTATAGTATCTGACATGTCCCGCCCACTTTAAACGTTTCTCATTTGATGTGCTTGAGTTAAATCACCTTTACTGCAATTAATCATGGGCAGTTATAAGATTCTTGCTTTATGTAAACCTTGGATAAAAATTGGTAACACAAAATCACGATATTACAGTATTGTGATTACTGCTCTAAAATAAGTTAAACGTCTGAGTAAAAACCAACAACTTGAACACAATATATTTTATTTTAGGAAAGGTTTAATACATTTTGGAGAAGCAAACATGTCAGACTAAATAATCAAAATAAATCATTGACTTCTGCTATCTTCATTAGTTTTAAAACCACAGATTTCTTTACAACACATAAAAAAACATTACATATACCTTAGGAACGGTAGAGCAGATCATTTTAGCGCTTTTAAAACCTTGACCAAACCCTGGTATATCTTGAAGCTGGTTATCAACCCATGCCTAACTGTGATTATTGGCTGTTTTTAAACGAGGAATAGCTACTATATGCTCCACCCTATCTTTAAGTTTTAGCATTAATTCCGTCAAACATTAAATAAAAATGCACATTTCAAAGCATTTCATGGGACCTTCAAATCTTATAGCATTTGGTGCTGAAATAAACACGATTACAAATAGTTTGGATACAATAAAAAGGCACTGTAAAATTTAAAATAATTACTGCATGTTAAAATTCTTATAACAATATCATGCATGTTTGTTATCCCATTTGACACGTTAATATATATACACACAAAGTCCGATTAGAAACAACAGTGAAGTAAAGCCATCGCCGCTCTTTTATAAACCATGAGTTTTGAATAAAAACAAAACCTACATGCTTTTATATTGTATGTTTTGTATACACAAAGAAGGGGAAGGACATATTTGCACCTGCACTAAACAAAGCAACCTATAACGGACATGAAATACATCTAGCATATGTCAAAAAAGCACACAGTATAACTAGGTACACTAACAGGACATGGCATGTCAGACTAGAACACGGCATGTCAGACTAGTCTTTTTATTGAATGTAACCAGCCCCAGTGCATGTTGTACTAGCACACTGTGGTAATGTGCCAAACATGGTAATGCTGCCAAAATTGTAACTTAAAATAATGGCTCACTATGAGGTCACTTTCTATAATAGGTAAACAGGAGCGATTCATAAGTTCTCCAAATGTATTACATTCCACTGACCAGAGTAAATTAAACCCTTTATCTGCTGAATCGACTTGCTCGACACACTTAAATGAGAGGTTTCCTAAAAAAAGAACTGAGAACAAAAATTTTGACTTCTTGGCCTGTTTCATAATAGCATATTATTATACAACAGACCACTAAAAACACGTTAAGCACAAACTTAAACACGTATGATAAAGATCTGTAAGATTTCTATGCTCTATTACCAAAAAGTACAGTGAAACATATTAATTGTCCGTTTCTTTAACAAAGGTGAATAAATACTATAATCAATGTATTGTTCATTGTATGTTAATACAATAACTAATGGAGCACAAGCAATATTAACTTTGGTAATAATGTATTTTTAAAAAAACTTCACTTAAGATCACAAATATATGCACATCAAATTTCTTCATTTCATCAAATTTGTTTGTGTATACATATGTAGAGTATACATAGATCTATACATTACACACACACACACACACACACACAACCAAAACAATGTTATTTTCTTTTTTATCTCACTACAGATGATTCTCTGACCATTGCCTTCATCTCCGCAGCAATTTAATGACTTAAATGTCCATAAATTATTCATTCAAATGGTACTAAACATCACAATATCAAACAATGTAACTAAATGATATTTGACATATGCACATTCATTGTGATAGTTTTGCCAGAGAAGGATGGGCTCCTCCAGCAGAGTCTGGTTCTTCTCAATGTCTTTTTTCCCCCTGTTCACCTAAACATTTTATAGAGTTTCCCCCTTGCCACAGTGGGTTGTTCACTAAGAAGTTATAAATTTAAAAAATGAAAGAGCTGCTGAATAGAATGAAAGTGTACACATCTAATAGTAATTATGCAAGACCTCATAAGTGAACAACCACAGCTTGATTGTAAGGAGGCCTGTGAAGATGAGATTGGTGCTGCTTGGCTGTTTTCAGGGGGTTTTTTCAAAGGCCAGCACAGTTTTACTGCATTCAGCCAATATTTTATCATGACATCGTCACAATAAATCAGCCCAAAACGATGCAGAAGTGCAGTCGGTTGCATTTCTGCCATAACGCACAGCATTTTGCTCCATAGCTCTGTTGCTGTTGGTAGGCCCTGCTCACACTGATGGAAAGACAATGCGGGCATTTTGACAAACGGTACACTATGTACGCCTCTCTGCCTATAGCTCTGAACACTCCATCAAACGATGAACAAAAAATACAAGCCTATAACGACCCGGCGCTGAAAATATCGGCCACGGTGTAAGATTATATATAAGGCGTAAAGGTGTTGACAGGAGGCGCAGGAAAGCTTCTTCTTCTCGCCTGTTAAGCTTTAGTTTGAACCACAGAGCAAAGCTTGATTTACACCCAGTGCCAGTCTTGGCATCACAATTTCTCCGAAAAGCAGGCATATAAAATGCACAACATAGTGAATATTATTGACACGAAGCCCACTCCCCACCCCACCGGACAACGCTCGGAAAATTCAAGCGGTTTCGGATTCGTGACACCGGTGGAGTGGAGCCGCGCCGTGCGTCCTGCCCAACGCAAACGCATAGAAAAACACAGGCGTTTCGGCAAAGCAAACGGATGCTCGATTATTACAAATCTGAAGGACGGAAGAAGAAAATAAGAGCTTGTTGTATACTCACCTCGTCTACAGTGATTGTGGAGGTAATTTAAAGGGCCAGGTTCGCGCAGATTGTTACCCCCCCTACCAAACAAACACCACCCCCTCCGTGCACCAGTGTCCACCCAGTCAGTACCCCCTCCACTGGTGACAGCGTCCTCGCACACAAACTTGCTTTTCTCTCCTGGGAAAAAGCTGAGTCGGTTCTGAGTCAAATAAGGCGGCTCTTCGTTAAAATAGAAAACCAATCAGTTTCTCCAGCTCTGCCCTCTCCACGCTCGTCGGGTGCCACGAGTTTGGTTGCGTACGTTGCTAGACCCTTTCGGCTGCTCGATGGGATTTTGGGGCTATTGAGCTGCCGATATGCCTATGAAGCGCTCTTTACGCAACCGTTCACCGACCCAGTGTTCATTAGAAAATACATTTGGGCGCACCGAACACGAACCCGTTGTGCACCGCAGTGCGCAGTAACATCTGCTGACCCAAGAGGGCGCTGGTGCTCAATGTCTCTCCACACATCTGCAAAAAGAGACAATATGGGAAAATTTATATTTATATTTTAATAGCCAAAATTTATTTTAAAAACATCAATATGCAAAGAAGAAACAAATTGTGTATGTTCTTTCGGACTTCAGAATTAATTAAGAATATAGCAGTCTTTTCCTTTGATTTATTTTCATCATATTTAATTTTCCCATTATTTTGATGTAACTTCCTCTTACAATGTTTATACGTTGTCACGAATAATAAACTAATAAATCATGTGGATAAAATGTCAACATTTATTGATTGATTGTGTTGTTGAGTTGAGTTTTCATGTTGTTTTCATTAGCAAACATAGCTTGATTAAATCATTGCTTTTTAGTTCAATCTCAACAAACTAGCCACTGTTCGTTATTCCAGTAATTGATTTTAAAGATTGAATGCTACTAGTTTCTTACCAACTAGTCAGAATACAAATTCTTTGGTTTACATTTATCACTCTGCTTTAATGTTGTTAGTTTGTGATTGTTGTGGTTGTTAGGTGAAAGTATATAGGCTAATTATGGATTAAATTTTTTATATTTCAGTTGAGGGCGACACGGTGGCTCAGTGTGTGTGGATGTTTCCCAGTACTGGGTTGCAGCTGGAAGGGCATCCACTGTGTAAAACATATGCTATAGCTAAGGAAGTATTCATTAATTATACAGAACAATTGTTTTTCGTACCAGCATAAAATAGGCCTACTAGCGCTGTGATTAGCCTACCATTTAATCTTTTGTTTTTGTTACTACTGCATTTTGCTGTCAAATGCTGGGGTTGAGGCTATCTTTTTAAGTTTGTTTAAGTGAAACTATTTAAAAGATATTAATGAGTAATTGTTGGTATTACAAAACTCTATTTCAGCATCCTATATCATCCAGTTAGCAATGTATAAGCTTTTTCTCAATACTAGTTGATAGTTCCTCAGCAACTAGTCATTTTACCATTGTTTTTGGTAGCAGATTTTGAATCACATTGAATTCAATCTATTCTAGTAGTTGATTACTTTTTGTACTACTGTTCACTAGATACAGCATTCGTTTATACCACCACAAAGTTATCCAGTTAGCTAGTAATTAGTAGGCTATTAATTATACTTTCAGTGTCATGGTGGCGTAGTGGGTAGCACGATTGCCTCACAGCAAGAAAGTCACTGGTTCGAGCCTGGGTCAGTTCTCAGTTGGCATTTCTGTGTGGAGTTTGCATGTTCTCCCCGTGTTTGCATGGGTTTCCTCCAGGTGCTCTGGTTTCCCCCACAGTCCAAAGACATCCGGTACAGGTGAATTGAATAAGCTTAATTGGCCTTAGTGTATGTGTGTGAATGCAAGAATGTGGGGCTGTTTCCCAGTGATGTAAACATATGCTGGATAGGTTTGCAGTTCGTTCTGCAGTGGTGACCCCAGATTAATAAAGGGACTATGACGAAAAGAAAATGAATGAATTAATAATTGTACTTTTTCTAGAAATTATTAATTAAGTTCTAAAATAAATCATTTTATGATATTTGAGATACTTTGAGAAATGTTGGTAACCATTGACTTCCATTTTACATACATACTTTAAATACATCTCAAAATATATTCTTTTATGTTCAACATACAGCTTTGTAATAACATGAGGCGAAGTACATGATAGCATCATTTCATTTTTGTGTCAATCATCCCTTTGAAAACACTTCTTCAATGCATTTCCCTTGGTATTGCTGTTCCACTAATATTATTTTTGCATACACAACTCCAAATGCAGTCTTCAGTGCGATGTGTTCTTCTTTGAGGAAGCCCTAGGTATGTGTTAGATGTACTGTAGGTGGATCTGCACCTCCAGGCAAATTTGACACTTGGCACCAGATCAGAGCGAGCCAGCCTTAATCATAAAGCCTTGCGGTTCTCATCTGAAACGGTGCTTTAAAAACGGAATCAGGACAGTTTAAGAGTAGACTGTACCCTGTGGCAGTTAAAAAGACATAGTTATTATTTAGTGAGGCAGCTAATAGCATAGTGGACGGTTAATTTACCGTAATAACTTTTTTATAATGAAAGACCATTCATTCATTGAGAGAATAATTTGTGCAAGCAGATGATATTGTAGGTTTGAATTTTGGGTTGCCTGTTTCCTAACAATATGATATTTAATAAAAAAAAAAAGTAGGTTTTTGAACAATGAAACACATCAAACCTGCCCCATGTATCCACATGAGTTCTGCGGTTTCTCGACTCTCCTGTTTTATTCAAGGACTGTGCGGACGATTTGTCTCTTCTTTCTGCTTCACTTCACAGGCTCCCTCAGGAGCTGCAGGATTCTCATTGTGCCTTCAGATTCCTCCAAAGTCCCAAATGATTTGTGCTAACATTTGACTTGGCACAGCAGTGGCTGTATTTCTTTTTTCTACAAGGGGGTGTATTTATAGTAAATTGGAATGGAAAATGCTTTTACTGGAATAAAGTGTTGTTACACTGAAAGTTCTTAACTGTAACTTCATCCATGCTTTAACATTTAGATTAAAGTAGACACTTTATTTGCATGTAAAATGCCTTTAAAATATACATTTAATATGTAAAATATTATTTCATGTAAAAAATAAATACTTATGCGAGGTATATTTTTGAAATTGAGATTTACACTACCTGACAGTCTTGTTACTGATCCAAGTTGTAGGAGCAAAAAATAATAACTTCAATTAATAAAATCATTTGGAAAAGTGGCAGAAGATCGATTTTTTAGATGAATATTCTGTTAAACAGCATCCCAATCATCACAAATACTGTAGAAAACCTACTGGAACCCGCATGGACCCAAGATTCCCACAAAAATCAGTCAAGTTTGGTAAAGGAAAAATCACGGTTTGGGGTTACATTTACTTTGGGGGCGTGAGAGATTTGCAGCGAAAAATGGCAACATCAACAGTCTGAGGTATCAAGACATTTGTGCTGCCTGTTACATTATAAACCACAGGAGAGGGCAAATTCTTCAGCAGGGTAGCGCTACTTTTCATACTTCAGCCTCCACATCAACGTCTCTGAAAGCAAAGAAGGTCAAGGTGCTCCGGGAATGGCCAGCACAGTCACCAGACATGAATTTTATTGAGCATGTCTGGGGTAAGATGAAGAAGGAGGCATTGAAGATGAATCCAAAGAATCTTGATGAACTCTGGGAGTCCTTCAAGAACGCTTTCTTTGCCATTCCAGATGACTTTATTAATGTTATTTGAATCATTGCAGAGATGGAGTCCTGCAAGCTTGTGGGAGTCATACACAATATTAATTCTTTTTCCACTGCAGCATGACTTTATATTCTATACTGTACATTATTTCTGTTCAGGGACAAGACTTTTGCCTCAGCAGTCAGACCTTACTGTCTTAAGTAAATAATTAAAAATCAAGGTATGATCAAATTTTATTTTGGTAAAATAAGTTAAATCTAGAGGCCTTTGACTGTTATATAAGCCACTTCTGATACCAAGTGATCAACTAGAAGTCAAGTTAAAATTTTTCTGTTCCAAAAATTTGGATAGACGACAAGACTTTTGTCAGGTAGTGTACTATAATCTGAAAGTTGAATAAATAAGCTTTACAATAATCTCTAATTGTTAGGATAAGACAATATTGCATTAGAAAATCTGGATAATGAGGTCTCAAATTTCTTAAATTATCTTTAAGGCTTAAAGGGATAGTTCACCCAAAAATGACAATTTTATAAATGTTTACTGCCCCTCCACTTGTTCCAAGCCTGTTAGATATTCGAAGAACATTTTGTTTTGTGCTCAACAGAAGAAATAAATTCATAAAGGTTTAGAACCACAGTAAATGCTCATTTTTGGACGAACTATACCTTTAAAAGCATGGATTTAGAACTCTTGCAGCACTTCAGAGTCTTTCAGATGGCTTTACATTGACTATTCGGTCTGCTTTGAGCTAACATTTGATTTGGCACATCACAGTTGCTGTATTTTTTACAGGGATGTATTTATAGCAGACTGAAATGGGAAATACTTTTATTGCATTAGCATTATGTCCTCTGGAACACGACATTTTGCTGATGGCAGTAGATTTTCTATATAATTTTCCCTTGCTTTGAAGTCACAGTCCTCTCTCTGATAATGCATCTAACAGTCTGTGTGGAAACTGCAATACTGCTGAGAGGGGAATGAGGTGGTGCAGTTGTTGAGAGGCGGGGGGCAAAGAGAGAGAGAGAGAGAGAATGAAGCTGTGTATCACAGTCGCAGGAGAGTTGATTCATGCAGGTTCCCCCGCAGCCATTTTTTGCTCTGTGCTGCTGGTTTGATTCACAAAACATCATAGTGAAGCACCTGATCCAACTTGCTGTGTTAAAGCTCTGTTCTCATGGATTGCCTGTGCAGTATATTTCTTAAATATTTTGAAGCAGAATGCAAAAGGCTATTCAGTTCACAACTGCCAATAATTTAGTCAAAAGTTTATACAGATATGGTCTTCTCACAGCAAGAAGTTTGTTGGTTCGAGTCCCAACTGGGCCAAGTGGCATTTCTCTGTGGAGTTTGCATATTCTCAGCCAATTCATGTGGGTTTTCCCCAAAGAC